TATGGTTCTGCCGCAACGGGTGAGCTGACGTTTTCATTAGCACGTTATGCTAATCAGCTGCGGCTAATATTTCAGGCCGCACACATTGAAATTATAAATTTTTAGACGCTGATCTGGTCTTTCTGGGGCTGTAATGACACTGGCTGATTGTAGGTGTGGGGACGCTTCATTCCGCACCGAGTTTAAAAGCAGGGAGCTTAGCTTTCTGTTTTTTTTATGTAGCCTGGATGACAGCCTTGCGCAGGTTATCCATGGTGAGTTTTCAGGCGGTTAATATATGTTAATTGCTGCCGTCTTGTTCTGCTCATTTTGAGGAGACATTATGTAGGCTAGGGGTCTTTCACCGTGACCGCGGTTCCGACATATCGTTTTAGAATGTCGATTAAGTAGGGCAGAGGTGCCCGAGTTTTCAGCCGCAGAATGTGACCAGACAGGCTTTCATTTCCAGACCAGGCCACAACAAAACAAAGATGGCGCTGGCAGCGGGGAACATGTGTCTGCGGATGTGATGTCTTATAAGTTGGGTTTCCTGGGGACCAACGTGATTCAAAGGTTAAATCAATAACTATGATAAAAGTTTGTCTGTCTGTGAATCATTTTTATTAATCATTAATGTTTAATGGAGCGCATTTTGGGCTCTGCTGTGTTCGGCCGCGCAGCGCCTCCTCCTGGCAGGGGCGGTTGGGTGGGGGTTTTGGCCAGGGGCCCAGTCATTTCCCCCCAACTGCCGTAAGCTGTGTTTTGAGGGGGACGGTGCGTGCGGGCAGCAGACAACCCGTTTTGTTTGTTTTCTTCTCCATTAAAACCCTGACATGCATGAAAACAGATATGTTTTTTTTCTAACTAACTCTCAGGGTGAAGTGTGATCATTATTTTATGAAACTTTTGGGAAAAATGTTTGCTGAACTTTTTTTCTCTCTCTTTTGTTGGTTTTCTGTTTCAAATGATTCGGTCAGTGCTTTTATTTCATTTTATCTTTTACCTTTTAAAATGAGATGCAGAGTTAAAAGGGAAACATATAATGTCACATGCCATTTAAATATTTAAATGAAGTATTTCTAACTTCTTGGAGGAAGTGAAGAAGGAACAAGGTGATTATTATTTTTTTCTTTCTTTATTTTAATTGTTTATTTTAGATTTCTTTTAATGATGGAGCAGCATTTAAAGGGCATTAAAAAATTAAATGCCTGCCATTTTCATTCAGAAGCTGCTTGAATTAAATAGAACTGTTTCATTGATAATATCTTGTTTTGTTTTTTGTGTGTGTGCTGTTTTTCATGTGATGGGGGAGTTTGTCCTGATGGTCCCTCTACTCTGTCTGCATCCACTCCAGCCACCTGAGACCCGAGATCTGTACTGACGATGGACATTTTGGAGAATGGACAGAGTTGCTGAGGCCAGCACTGAGATGTCAAGACCATTATCCAGAACAATGAAGGCCTCCCGTCCTGACCAGCAGAAGCTGATCTTCACCTATAGGCAGCTTGAAGGTGGCCGCACCCTGTCCGACTGCAGACAACATCTGCAACATCTGGCAGGTGTCCACCCTTTCACCCAGCACCATGACTCGAGATAAGGTGGGCCACGTCTGACGTGTTTTGCCTAACACTGCTCCAACCTACTACAGTGGTTTGCAAAAGTATTCATACCCCTTGAACTTTTCCATATTTTGTCACATTACAACCACAAACATTACTAGAACTGCAAAGCAGTTATGACCGGGGTCCAAGCCCTTTTATGCATGTCAGCCTTTGTCATGTTGTTTGTAGCATATTGTTGATCTTGTGCACAACAGAATTTTACTTTTATGGGTAATATTAACAATGTGTGGTTCAGGCTGTAGTGTAATAAAGTTCATGTCAGTTGGTACTACTGCTTAAGAGATATAAACATAATGCATTTCTGGCGCCCCCTATAGTTTGGTTGATTTGAAATTTTGAATACTTGCTCAGAAAAAATAGGTGGATACTTGACATAAGTTTAATGTTGATATGTGTTAACATACATAAA